GGGGCTATCTCTTTATTGAAAAACCGGTCGTGGACGATCGTATCAAATTCTCGCCTGCTCAGCGATCTCTGCAATGACCATAGCAACGAAGCATCGTGACATGCACGAATCTAAACCACCACCAAGTTGCTTATGTTATCATGTTGTTGTGCAAGTATTTGAGTTGTGTTCTTCAAGGAAAACGTACCGATTGGTAACGGGGCTGCCAACCTCTGTTATTCAACCGAATTTCACGGATTCGTCTACTAGACCTAATCGCCTTCTCACATGGGCACAATCATTACAAAGTCATGGTGCGTTTTTGATAATGCTTTTGCCAAATTTTCCACATGAACGCCGAGTATGATTACGTTATGAGGAAGCGCGTAATTACACAGCGTTCACGTCGTATCTGTAAAGATAAGCGTTATATATATATATATATATATATATATATATATACACCAATGGGTATCAAACGCCAATCTATTTCAGTCTCTTACATATTGCCCCGCAGCGGAATTGGAGTTAAGATAATTTTTAGGGCGACCAGCTGAATGGGATCCACATTCGAATATCGTTTGATTCCTCAGAAGATTTCATCCAAAAGATTGTGGCATTTTTCTATTCTATCGTTCAGTTTACTTAGTTTTGTTGTTGTGTAATTAGATCCTAGTCATCTGGAGTTATTTTGTCGATCTTATTGGGTGCGGGGGCGGTTTAGCACTTCTGCCATCGATCTTGAACTCCCCTAAATGCACAACGAACTACTACGACTACTACTGCACTACTAAATTACTCCATCTTGTGCTATGTTTCCGTATGTGGAACAGGAATTTTCATTTAACAGTTCAGTCTGAACTGCCGTTAACCATGCACCGGTTTTGGTCACCCATTTTGATGAAGGCGTGGACGGGAGATTCGAAGGGTAAAAGCTATGTCGGACGGAAAATGGAGAGTTTCGGTCGCAAAGAGCTGCACGAGGGCCACTGTTTACGACACCAAGCTACATCAGTCAGTGTCTCTAAGCATGGATAACAATTATCTCTTGATCCCAATCCAGGAAGCCCCTAACACGACCCATGTGAGCAACGGATGAAATGGAGACGAGTCATGAAATGCGCAGGACTATTAGATAGAATAGGTATGGGTCCGAGAGACTCTGTAGCTGGTTGGTTGCAGATACTGAAAGATAGTTCAGCAAGCCGACAGCAGCGACGTTCTCGTTGTCGTTTCTTGTCAGAGCAGAGTGTTTGAAAAACGCGTGTGTGCGCGCAGCTAGCGTGTATGCCGCGTATTTTGTCCAGAAGTTCGCTTTCTTTCCCTCTCCTCGAAATGGACCCAGTCCCTGTCCGCTTACGTATTCTCACCAACTTCGTACGCAGTGCAAGTCTGGTAGCGATCAGTGAAGTTCGCTTTGCTGTTTTTCGCTGTACGATGACTGAAAAGTGCCACGAATTGTAATCCTGCTATGTCTCTCACTCTAATCCATTCAACCTCGAGTGTTTTCTCCCGTCCTTTCGCCATATTTCATTTTTCTCATGTGTTTCCGCACGTTTCACCAAACTCGAACAGTGCGGCCAGAAACTGATCGGGAATCTCGGGCTGCATTGGTAGTCGTTCTGTATTCGCGAATATCTTGTAAGAAAGATTTTGTTTTCCTCGCGCGAATGAAACAATTTAGTCCGCCGATAATCTCGACTGTTCTTGTATCGGTAGTCCCACGTAGCCGTCACGTGTCTAGTGAAAACGAAGTTGACATTATTCACTAGTAGAGATCGGTCATCCACCAAGCTGATATCTCAATAAGCTGTCGTTTTTATCCAGGGTTTGTATTGATTATCGAAGCGCAGTTGTGAAAGGTCACATTTCCTTTTTACAGTTGTCACCTATAATCGGCTTGATATCATGCGCCTTCGACTCGATGTGCTGTTGAGCGATATCAAAGGTCACAGGCACACTGTTCTGTCATTTCGCATTTGATTAATCCGCCAAATTGAAATACCGTCTAACAACTAACCAGCATGTAAGTTGACTACCTACACGAGATGCGGTGTTACACTGGTTACACTAAAATCTCTTTCATGAGAACACTATTTCGGGGTGGTGGTGCAGTGGCGCAGTGGTTTAGTCGCTGTCACCGGCGTGCCTTGGGTCCTGTGGTCCGAGGTTCGAGCCCCGCCACCGCCACCCTTGCTTTGATGGTAGACAGCTTTGCTGCCGGCCGGTTCAACTTCACGCCCAACCGTTGACGGGGCCTTATGTAATCCACCATTCCAAACCCTGGGGCTTACTTTACGGGTTTCCATCACTGAACAGCAGGTCCTCGCGACCCCGGGGTTTACCCCGTCTGCTGCTAACCACACTTAAGCGTGTCCTCGTGTTTTCCTCTATGCACGTTATAAAACTAATCCACTTGACTGCAGCGATTGCTCTTACCAGTGAAAAGAGATTAGTTTCTTGACTCATGCATGATACCACCCCAATGAAATTCAACTGAAGTCCGTAGTTTTGTAATGGCTTTCGAAGCGTTTCGTCTTAGATGACTGTATTATTCCTCTCCCTTATGTAGAGCTGCTGCTTCCACTGCTAACTGTGTCTCTCATTAGGATTTTGACCGAATAGTAATCGTGAACTTTTGTGCCACAGAGCTGCTTTTTTAGTTGCGGTGCTGTCCATGACCTAAGTGTTTTTAGATAAATAGTTTTTACATGCGGTGGAAATGTTTATGATAGCCGACAAAGAGCACTGCTTTGTCCTGTTTGGGACTCGTCAATCGTGCGTACTTTTTGCGTCCCTCTCAGAACCCGAACCACCAACTTTCGAGTTTTTACTTCAAACTCTTACCCCTGAGCTACGCGGTCGACAGTCATCACCTTGTGCGAATGGCTCAACCAATTTTAGAGTAGCAAGCCTGGATTAGCCCATCGATTGTTGAGAGGCACCAGGCACTCCTGATGGTCTTTTTCTGTTTTACTAAATATACAAATGTACATTTTACTTCCAGGAATGTGCTGCCATTTTCTTCGCGTATCTTCATTATCTGTTCACATCCGGTTTTGGTTGGATTCGAACTGTTTCCTGACTGTGCGGGCCACACGTGACACCAGGTCGTTTTAACTATACCGGTGACACTCAGCTTCTATGCTTTCCGCGCAAAAGAGGCACCCTAGACTTTAGGGCACGATGCGTACTTCGCAGGGTAGTCCTTACCGACGAAAAGGTCTTCCTTTGGGAGCGTTTTTGATTCAAACGCGATGCATTCTGACCGAGTTACAATCAGCTTTTTCCGGGAATCAAATATGCTGCACACATAATCCCACTAATTTGCGAGGTGGTTACAATCTTGCTGATTGTGGTCGCTCCATTTTGCGATGCAGTTCGTTGTACAGTATTGATCATTCTTAAGACAGACAGTGTTTACCTCGAAAATTGTAGACTGAATATACCTATCTTGTCCATAATTTGGTCCACGTCTATCAGAGCTCTAACCGTAGGATTGAGCTTTTGAAACTGTGCTACAATGCCGATTTCGGGTTGCTGCTCCGTATGAGAATTGAGACACTAAGCGAAATGATCAGTTGGACTCGCGCATCTGTTGATCGAGCATCGGTGGCGTCTGGTCTGCGGTTTTGAACTTCACCAAAGTTTGTGAACCGTTCGCATTTGAATGATAACAAACAGAAAAC